AAAAAAAAAAGTGGGGATCTAGTTCAGTGTGAAGGCCCTGACTCTGAAGAAAAAAAAAAAAGGTTGAAAAGAAAAGAACACTAGTGTGGCTCAGGTATAGACAGAAATGCAGAGGGTAACATGAGGTGAACTAGAGGGAGGTTCAAACATACAGAACATTGGAAGCCATGGTAAGAAATTCAGATTATATTCCAAGTACAGGAAGCCACTGAAGAGTTTTAAAAGACAAAAAGAATATGTGGAGAAAAAAATTTAAAGAATATTCTAGATACCCACCTGAAGAAAAATGAACTGGTAAGAGATAAATGGTAACATGACGACCATTTAGTATGCTATTACAATTGTATGCTATTACAGGGAGGGATGGATAGATCCTAGTATCTAGAACAAAGGATTTAGACAGATTGAACAAAAAGGGTGAGGCAGAAGGGAGGACTCAAGAATAACTGCTAGGTTTCTGTCCTGAACAGCTGGATGGACACTGAGGGGGAGGACTGATTTGAAGGACAAATCAAGAGGTTTTTGTTGTTTTTTTTAACATTTAAGAAGGCTAAATGGTGCCCACCCCTAGGCTATCAGGCCTCAATTCCTAGAACAGTGATGGTGAACCTTTTAGAGCTTTCAATGATACATACAGCACACTGTGGCACTTGTGCTGTAGGTTCACCACAGTTCTAGAACCTATAAATGCTGCCTTTAATAGGGGAAAATTTTGGCAGATGTAGTTATATTAAGGATCTTGAGCCAGGGAGATTCTTCTGGATTATCCAGGTAATACCGAAAACTATTCACATATACCCTTGTAAGAGGAAGACGGGGAGATTTCACAGACAGAAGAGGAGTGAGCAACGTGACCAGGGAGAAGACTGCTATGATGTGGCCACAAAAAAAGGAAACTTCAGCAGCCAACAGAAGCTAGAACAACCAAGACAGGGATTCTCCCTAGAGCCTCTAGAGGGAGTACAGCCCTTGATACCTTTATTTTAGCCCTGATGATACTGATTTAGATTTGTGGCCTATAAAACTATGAAAAAATAATTTACCTTGTTGTGAGATACCTGTAAAGCATCAAAATAGAGATTTCCAGTAAACTGTTGGTACAAGTCTAAGGTTCAGAGTCCCCTAGACTATCAGGTCCTTATAAACATTGTTTTAAATATCTCTTAAGGGTTTGAAAATTGTTCTTTTACCTCTAGGTCCTTTCGAATGTTCTCAAATTCTTCAATGTCATCAAGCTTTAGCTCCAGGCGCGTTGGTTTCCGTCGCAGCATACTGAGGTCAACACTAAGCGTGAGACCCAGTGAACTATTAGCTGTTAAAAGTGGTAGAAAAATGAGAGGTAGAAAAATGGCAGGTGATAAGTAGCAACTACAAATATGACTTTAATTTGTAAGTGTACATACTAAAGGGAAAGGCAACTCATTTAGATTCACACAGACTACTAAAGTCTCTAGGTGCCTGATTATTACATTTTCATTACACAATATGGAGATCTACAATACTGTAATTAAAAAAAAAAAACTTTCTGAGAGAGTTTAAAACAAGGTGCCAGTAAGAGACAATTATAGGCAAGAATCACTTTGATTTGATGCTACAGTAACATTCACAAAAATATGCTAGCTAAAAAACTCAAAGTAGTGGCCCATGCCTGTAATCCGAACTACTCAAGAGGCTGAGGCAGGAGGATCACTTGAGCCAGCTCAAGGTCAGCATGGGCAACATAGCAAGATACTGCCTCAAAAAATAAAAAAAGACCAATGCTATTATATCTTAGTTCATACAGTTACAGGGACAATGGACAAACCATTCAATTTAATCTGCTTTACAGAGGACTCATCAGAGATTGTGGTCACTCCTGGAGCCAAAATCAGTTTGCTAAATATCATAAAAACTGAACTTACCAATTCACAGAATTATCTTCAGGATCTAACTGGATTCTAAACAAATAAATCATTCACAAAACAAAATCTTCCTGTAGTCCAGATACAGAGTTAAAAGGCACGGTCACAATCTGTAGGAAAACAGACAAGTAAATAGTGCTACATAGAGTAATAAAGCTGGAGAGAGTAACACAGCAGGATTACACAGATCCGGATCCTACCGAACAGCCCTCATCCCAAAGCAGTCTGAGCTGCTCATGGGTGCGCAGGGATGTTAGGCCCCTGGGCTTCCTGTGGGGAAATTATCCCTATTTTACAAAGGAGTTGAAACAAGCTGTTCAGTTTGGTTAATAATGCTAGCCTCCTATAAAAATTACATATAGGTCAATATGGTGAGGCTTAAATGATGATGTAAATGAAAACTCTCATACACTATAAATTACTATTATATACTATATAGTTATATATAAAGATATAAATTACTATGATATATATATTATATCTAGAGTAAACAAAGGACTAGGAAGTCTACAAAAGAAGAAACATTCCTTTCTCCCACAAGGTTCAGGACAGATACAAATGATATCAACACAAAACACTGACATGTGGCATTTCAACTTGCTTTGTACTAATCAGAAACTATCTTTTTTTTTGTATGGGGATCAAATTCGGGTCCTTGCACTTGTGAGGCAGGTGGCAGAACCACCGAGCTAAATTCCCTGGTCCCCAGAAACTACCTTGAAGACAAACTTCCAAAGAGGGTAAGGAAGGATACTTGGAAGAAAAAACAACAACAAAAACAGAAGGCCTTTTCTGCCAACTATGAAAAACTCACCAACTCACCACTACAAGGCAGTATAGAGTTGGGGCTAACTAAACATGCCAGCTCTGGGGGACAGCAGGGGTTCTAACCCCACTATACTACTATCTTCAACGATTTAGCTCCTCAGAAGACCTTAGTTTCTGTCTGTACTTGTTCGTGACTTGAACGACATAATGTAGAGTAAGCTCTCGAAGCATAGCTTGACACTCAAGAAAGCGCTCAAAAAATAAATGGGGTAAGGCCGACTGGAATATAGGGTTGGGGAGAAGTCTGTTGTTTAGATCAACAAACACAAATATTTTTAGAATCTTTACCTCTACCCAGCCATATTGGGAAGAAAAAAAAGAAACCACCTTATCTTTATCGCTGACGTCCCAGCAACCAGCAGTGCAGAGGGCTGCTTGCGTGCAATTTTCCTGGCGCCTTCCTACCCATCATCCCATTCTTTTTAAAGAAAAGACTGACAACAATAAAGTCAAGCCGAAGTGCCTCCTCTAGATTTTTATTTTACTTAGATACTAGAGGTCTCGGAGTTTAAGCTCTCGTTATGGCCCAAACCCACGCCAAATTCATCCAGCTCAGAGGAGCCCGCGGGAGGCTTCCGGATCCTACCGAACAGCCCTCATCCCACAACACCAAGGCAGCATTCTTGGGTCTGGGGCTAGAGTTCCCATGGCAACATGGCCTTCCGCTCTGGGACGACGGAAAACTTCCCATAGGCCTGGGGACACTCGGTTCGCTCTCAAACTCAGTCCCCAGGCATGCGACTCGGGGTACCTACCTTTTTTCAAGCCTCAGCCCCTCCCGGAACCTCAGCTTCTCCTATGAACCTATTGCTTGGCCAAATGAACTACATTTCCCAGACTGCTCTGCCCGACTCTTCCCACAGAAGCTCGTCTTCCGCGAGCTTTCTTAGAAGGCTCTCCGTCACGCCCTAGGAGAAGTTACAAACTACAGTACTACGACTTCCATCATGTCTCGCGCCTTCCATGTCGCCGCGTCTGTCCTGACTCTCTTCCGGCTGGTGACGTAGTTCCGCTCTGCTGGGCGCGTAGTGGACTGTCTGAAACCTAGAGCGCGCCTGTAGCTGGGGTTTCTCGGCTCCGGAGCTCGGCATGGCTTCTTCACGAGCCTCCTCCACGGTACAGAGCTCTGCATCTCAACTCACTCTGGCGGGGAGCGCAGGGAGGGTGGGGGTGCCTGTAGGAATGGGCCGTTAGGGAGCAGACTCAGGAAATCTGGGGCCGGGGGGAAAGAATGTGCGACCCCGACGTCCTATAGAGAATGGAGCAGTGATCTCTAAGCGCCTTCCTGTGCTGTATCTCTTTGCACCTCTCCCATTGTGGCCCCGAACGATGAACACTTCTTACGACTAGTCCAAAAACGGTGCTCTGAAATGGAGAAGTGTTCTACCCAGGGTTTGTGTCCTTGGAATTTTAATACGGTCTCCTAACTTACTGACGCACATGTGAAAATGTTTGAAATATATAGAGCAGTAACGTTGTAACTTGGCCCCTCTTAGCACTGTTGGTTATTTCAGTTATCCTTGATGTTTCTCAAGTGATGAACAGTAAACTCAAGAATCATAAAATCGATTGCTCTGCCAGCAGAATTAACTAAACATGTTCCAAAGCAAACCTTTGATAGACTATCACCAAGAGAACTTAACTGGTTTTATCAACATCCTGTTTCCTATCTGCCAGATTTAAACAAGAGACTGAAACATCCGTCTCTCTAGTCCCGCAAATCAGTGAACAGCTTTATCTGAATAAAAGGCCTACTGCTCTTATTTGCTAATATATATATATATACCTTGAATTAGGAACCAAGCTCGGAATGATCATCCCTTGGGGAAATCTGGTAGATTGCTAAAAATAAGCCCTAGATTAATCCAGGTCTTTGATTTAACAGGCAACCAAAACTAAAGCACCTGATGACTTAGTTGCCCCTGTTGTGAAGAAACCACACATCTATTACGGAAGTTTGGAAGAGAAGGAAAGGGAACGTCTTGCCAAGGGAGAATCTGGGATTTTGGGAAAAGAAGGACTTAAAGCAGGCATTGAAGCAGGAAATATTAATATAACTTCTGGTAAGATGCAAATAAATTCATCATTACCTTTGGTACTCACGTTTTCTGTACTACTTGTTCTTAACGTCAAAAACTTCAGTTCTTGGGCTGGGGATTTAGTTCAGTGGTTCTGCCGCCTGCCTCGCAGACACAAAGACCTGAGTTCGATCCCCAGTGCCAAAAAAAAAAACAAAAAAAACCTTCAGTTCTTAAACTTAACTATTGTACATTTGTACTTTGCTTATACCCCTCTTAGCATCATCCTGAGAATTTTTCTTATAAGCTTTTATACAGTTTTCTTTCATGAATTATTAGTAATTTAATCAAATTTATTCAGTGCACATTTGGGTTCCAGTTGATTCCACGTGTCTTCTAGAGATCTAATAGAGTTCTAGCATTGGCAGGCAGCCAGAGTTGTTCAGAATTTTTTTTTTTGTTTTGGTACCAGATAATTGAACTTGGACCCTTGCGCTTGAGAGGCAGGCAGTGGAACCACTAAACTAAATCCCTGGCCCCACCATAATATTCTTTTTTAATTTTTCACTTATTTTTATTCAAAATGAAAACTTTTTCTTTTTCTTTTCTTTCTTTTTTTTTTTGGTACTGGGGATTGAACTCAGGATCTTACGCTTGCAAGGCAGGCACTGGAACCACTGGGCTAAATCCCCAGCTCTTGAAAACTTTTTCTTATAAAAGTAATAGTTTTATTTTAAAAGATCAATATGAAGTAGAAAATTTTGTATTGTTAGTTGGATGTATATAAGTTTTAATGTAGCTATAAAATACCTAATTTTTCTGTAGCTGAAGTGATGATGTATATATTTTGTTCTGCATTTTTCACTGTACATACTGAGGCTTTTTTGTTGTTTTTCTTTGTTTGTTTTTGAGACAGGGTCTTGCTGTGTGGTCCAGGATGGCCTTGAACTCACTATTCAGTCCAGTTTGGCCTCAAACTCACAGTGATCCTTCTGCCTCAGCATCCTGAGTGCTGGGATTACAGATGTGTGCCACAGTGCTCAGCTCACTGTACAAACTTGAGGATATCTTAACATGTCAGTAACAAGAGTGTTTTTGTTTTGTTTCGTTTTGTTTTTTGAGAAAGGGACTTGCTATCTAGTTCAGGCTGGCCTTGAACTCACTGTGTAGCCCAGTTTGGCCTTGAACTTAAGGCTCTTCTCCCTCAGCTTCAGGAGTGCTGGGGTTATAGGCATTCACCACCACCCCCAGCTTAGAAAAAAATTTTTTCCCCATTTGAAGATCTGGTGACTGTACTGATTTTTCTTTTTTCTTATAGGAGAAGTATTTGAAATTGAAGAGCACATCAGTGAGCGACAGGCAGAAGTATTGGCTGAATTTGAGAGAAGGAAGCGAGCTCGACAAATCAACGTTTCCACAGATGACTCAGAGGTCAAGGCTTGCCTCAGAGCCTTGGGGGAACCCATCACACTTTTTGGAGAGGGCCCTGCTGAAAGAAGAGAAAGGTGCCCTTTCTAAATATTTCCTTCTTTATTAATCATTGGGTTCTAGTTCCAAATCTGATTGACGTTCTAGCTGAAACTTTGATGTCTGAGATATTGTTAACAATATCTTGGGTTGCGTTTATATAGTTTAGCTTTTGGTCGCAGTCTTAGACCAGTTTTATTCCACTACTGATTTCTCTTTATGAACTGTGAAGAGGGTGCCACTATACTCCCTTCCCACTCCAGGATGAAATTTTGAGTTGGATAAACATTGTTGAGCTTTGAAAACTTGGATGTCACTTACAGTCCATATTAATGGAACGTGATCAGTATTTTTTGGATATAATTAAAGGTGTTGTCCTTGGATAATGCTCTTGTGATTTTAAGGTTGTGAAGTGTTAGACAAGCGTTGGTTGTATGCAGTTATGAGGCTACTACCCTCTTGACTATCCTGATGGGGTCCTCTCTCTCCATCATCAGCCTTTTTGGAAAGCTGCTTTATGTTTACACCAGTAAGGTCCTTATTCCTCATCTATTCTTCAACCCATTGCAAACTGATCAACCCTTATCACGTGGAAATTGTGCTTTATAAAAGTCACTAGCCCATCTTTACTAAAATAGCCCTAGTGTATTGGCAGATATCCCACCTTAAAGTGCTCACTTTCCTTCTTTCTCAAAAGGCCAAATCCTTCTCTTCTGATTTTGCTTCTGTTTCGTCAGCTCATTCTTTTCACTTTCTAAGCCTCTTTTCCTCCCTGCCTCCCCCCTTCCCTCATTCCAGTACTGGATATTGAACTTGGGCCCTTACATATACTAGACAAACACTCTACTCCTGAGCTACATCCGCATCTCTTTTTTAAAATTTTACTACTATTTAAATTTTGAGATGTGGTCCTGCTAAGTTGCCCAGACTGGCCTTGAATTTACAATCTTCCTACTTCAGTCTTCCAAGTAGCTGAGATTACAGATGTGTGCCACTCTGTTTGGCTTCTTGCCTAGCATTTAGAGGCTGCAGTTCTTTGCCTAATGCTGTACTCACTCTAGGCCAGTGCTGGCAAACCTTTTAGAACTCTCAGTGGTAAAGCCAGCTGCAGCATGTGTGCCATAGGTTCACCACCACTGCTTTAGGTCACATCTGTGGCATCATTTCCTTTGTCTATTCTGCAGACTTCTTGTAGTCCGGGTATCCTACAGGCTCTTCAAACATGAGATGTCTAAGTCGAAGTCTGTGCCCCACGTCTCCTGTTTGCAGATGGCAGTTACCATTCATGTAGTCCTTAGCTGACAACCTCCCTGACCTCCTTTTTTATCCACCAGCAAAATCCTGTCGGTCTTTATTGGTGAAGTGCTCCTCCAGCCTGTCTTTGCTCTGTCTCCATTGCTTTCACATCTAGACTGCTGTGCTATCTGCAAATGTGTTAATAATTTCTTGCATAAAATCCGACAGTGCCTGGGCCTAGGAATATTGCTCAGTGGTAGAACACTTACATAGTATTTCCAAGGCCCTGGGCTTGATCACCACTACCACAAAAAAAATAAAATAAAATGAAACCTAGAGGATCTTCCCATTACACTAGAGGTAAAAAACAAACAAAAACTAATCATCTTCAGTGTAGTCTGCAGCCTTATCTTGTACCACTCTCACCAATTTACTAGACTAGCTGAATTGGTAGCCCAAAATACTCAACGTTCTTTTACTGTATTTCCCACTTTAATTTTCTTTTTGTTCTCTCTTACCTTTAGGGACTTTTAGTTCTTGGGTTCAGCATAAATGCGACCTGTTCTAAGTCTACTTAGAACTAGTATAGTTCACATCTGGCCCTTTGCAAAGTGTGTCTCTCTGTTTTCTATCAAAGTACATAGTTTTCTTAGCTTTTTTGGTTGTTTATTGCCTTCTTCACCAGCAAAGTCTGTCTTACTTCATTGTGATATCCCTTAGATGAATGCCTTGATTCCCTGCTGCCACTGTCTTTAATTCAATTCCACCAATATGACTCAGAATAACTTTCTGCAGCTGTATATAGTCTTGTCTCCCAGCCTTTATTTTTCCTTCTCCAGTCTCTTCCTGCTATTCCAAAGACCTTTCTCAAATGTAAACCCTCCTTGGCATAATATTAACAGCTCTCAGTGACCTGGCCCCCCTAACTTTCCAGCGTTATCCTCTACCATTCATTTTATATTCCATGCTCAGCTGTTTGACTACATGTCATTCCAGGCTCAACAAACCTACAGACCTTTGCATTTGACAGTCTGCCTTACTGTCATTTTCCCATTTTTGGTTCCGTGACCTGACAGAGGACTCAGTTTACGTTAACATCCTTTCTCTGAAGCCTTCCCTGGTTGTCCATGACTATGTTTGGTTCCCCTTTTGTATTCTCCTTTAGCACTATGCTTATGGTACGGATTGTAATGTGCTGTAGTTTCATTACTTTCTCTCTTCCTCCTAGAAGTGTGCTACTTGAAATTTGTAACTATTTCTTAGTCATTGTTGTATAGTTAGCACCTGAGTAAGGACCCGCCACATTGTGGAATTCAGTGAAATGTGGCTGTCTTCACAGGCTGGGTAGTGGAAGTGTACAGGCTAGGTGACTGAATGGAAGAGAATAATTGCTTATAGCTGGATTTAGAACTGTAGAGGATCTTGAAATAAAGATTGAGTGAAAGATATCACACTGAAGTTGTGCATAATGGCACACACCTATAACTGCAGCACTTTGAGGTGTTTATTTTGTTGTTGTGGTGGTGGTTGTTTTTTGAGACAGGGTCTCACTATGTAGTTGAGACTGACCTGGATCTCTGTGTAGCTCAGGCTGGTCTCTGAACTTTTCAGCCTCCGGAGTGCTGGGATTACAGGCGTGGGTCACCGCACCCGGTTTGAGATGTTGATTTTTGAAACAGGGTCTCACTGTGTAGTTCAGGCTGGTCTTGAACTCACAGTGATGCTTCTGCCTCAGCCTCCCAAGTGCTGAGATTACAGGTGTCCCACTTTGGGATGCTGAGCAGGAGCATTGAAAGTTCAAGCTCAACCTGGGGAACTTAGTGACTTAGCAAGACTAATCTCAATACTGAAAATTAATTAATTAATTAATTTATTTATTTATTGCTTTCTGGTTTTTTGAGACAGGGTCTCACTATGTAGATGAGACTGACCTGGAACTCACTGTGTAGCTCAGGCTGGTCTCGAACTCACAACGATCCTCCTGCCTCAGCCTCCCGAGTGCTAGGATTACAGGTGTGCGCCACCACACCCGGCTTCATACTGAAAATTTAGACATGCTCACTTGACACACATGCATTTGCTGGAGGTTTGATTGGTAAGGGTAGTAAGTAGACAGTATTTTCCCCTCTGCTTTGGTTTTCTTGTCCATGGTTTTAGTTATCCATGGTCACCCACAATCCAAAAATATTAAGTGGAAAATTACAGAAATGATCAGTTTATAAGTTTTTATGATTGTACACCATTCTCGGTAACATGATATGTTGCACTGCCCTGCTCCATGCCACCCTGAAGGAAAATCATCTCTTTGTCTCTCATATTCACACTATAGGACAATCTCCTCATTGGTATGTGCAGTATAATATATTTTGAGGGGGTGGGGAGAAGAGGCCACATTCATATAGCTTTTATTACAGGGTATTGTTACAATTGGTCTAATTGTTAATTCCTTATGATGCCTAATTTATGAATTAAACTTTGTCATAGGAATGTATGAATAGAAAAAAAAATACATAGTGTATGTAGAAGTCAGTACTCCCCATGGTTTCAGACATTTCAGGATTCACGGGACCTTGAGACGTACCACCTTGCAGAGAGGGGTTGGGGAGGGACTGCTGTATCTCTGACAGTCTTAACCACAACTAAGTTTGTATTCTCATCTTTTGGGTTACAGGTTAAGAAATATTCTCTCAGTGGTCGGTACTGATGCCTTAAAAAAGACAAAAAAAGATGATGAGAAATCTAAGAAGTCCAAAGAAGAGGTAAAATATGTCTTTGGCTTCCCAGGGTAAACAAGAAAGAAAGGACTGCTCTTGTCTGTTTCCAAGTGGTTTTCTTGGAGGAGGAGGAGGAAAGTGTTTTTGAAGCTTCTACCATACAGGAATACTTGTTGACAATAGCTTGTGATTCTTGTGTGAATGTGAGAGAAGCTACCTGAGTTTTTAGGAAAGAACCATAGTACTCTTAGTGTAACTCAGGAAACCATCTTATAAGACATCATAGAAAGAAATATAGTAGAAAGTACGCATGCCTGACTTCATCATATTACTGAACTAATCTACCTTCTTTGTAGGAAGTTACACTGTAGGATACAGCTGTGGGAGGCACAGGTGTGCTTCACTTAACCTTTCTGCTCTTGATTTGTCTTCCAGTATCAGCAAACCTGGTACCATGAAGGACCAAATAGCCTGAAGGTGGCTAGACTGTGGATCGCTAATTATTCACTGCCCAGGTAAGCAGAGTGGCTAGAAGAAAAAAGAAACTTACTCTTTTACAAACTGAGGATTGGCTTTATTGTGTTGGTGGTTATGTGAAATTAAGTTATAGTTGTGTGCACACCCTTATTGCCACCCCTTTGATCTTAGTAATAATGCTTTTGTTTCACAGGGCAATGAAACGCTTGGAAGAGGCCCGTCTCCATAAAGAGATTCCCGAGACAACTAGAACATCCCAGATGCAAGAGCTGCACAAATCCCTCCGGGTAAGGTGTTCTCAGTGATTGTCCAATACCTTATCTTACTAGATTTTTCTACTTTGGTCCACATTGAGTTAAAGGTAAAGGCAGCTACAGTTGTTTCTCCCTGTTGGAGCTATTGTAGTGTGGATGGCACCATCAGTTATGGCAGCAGCAACCTGCTATGCTTTGTATTCAGCAAAGGCCAATGGTTTTACTCTTGACTTCTTTCTTTTTGTATGTCACACCTGTTTTAAATCTCTCTGAGGTTTTCTGTTTCTATGTAGCTACATAGAGTGATAATAAGATTAGAAAACAGCTAAATTAACAGATGAGCCTTGATTTCATTCACTCTTTAACATAAGTATCTCCTAGCAAAAGCATAAGAGTCTTGGGATGGGTTAAAACTGAAGGGTAGGGGGCTGGGGATTTAGTTCAGTGGTTCCACCACCTGCCGCACAAGCACAAAGTCCCGAGTTCAATCCCCAGTACCAAAAACAAAACCTGAAGGGTGGGTAGGTAGGTAGGTTGGTTGGTGGAAAAGCCAAGGGATTCTTGAACTAGCCTATTAATGATCACAATTGTCTTTTTTTTTTTTTTAAGTCTTTGAATAATTTCTGCAGCCAAATTGGGGATGATCGGCCTATCTCCTACTGTCACTTTAGTCCCAATTCCAAAATGCTGGCCACAGCTTGTTGGTAAGTTCCATTTTACTAAATGAGGGAAAAGCTCAGAAAAAATATATATAATCTGTCCTAGCTATTTCTTCATCCTCTGCCTTTCATGGTCACACCAAACTACAAATGCTGGGGCTCTACCTGCTGAGTAATAAGATGGCTTTGTTTAAAGTTCATACTGTTTACCAGAGATCCATGGGATATAGCAGTCTGTCATGTTCTCAGCACCGGCTCTTTGGCGATAGTGAGTTTATAGACCAGCTTCTGTGATCTAGCTAAGATGCATAATACCTTTAAGCTTCAGTGTTCTTTTCTGTAAAGTAGAGTGAAGTGTTTATAAAGCGTTTTGCCTTGATATTGCCTAGAATACATTAAGAACTTGGAAAATGTTCATTAATGGTTTTATCTTTGTTGTCTCCTTACTACCACATATGCAGAAAACTCTTAGGATGTTATAACTTTGTTGTTTGACTTTGGGGAGGGAAGCTTTCATTGAATATGCACAGGAACTACTTAACTAGGCAGAAATTTAGATGGTGATTCAAGGAAAAGCCAAAGATCTGTGCAGATCAGTCCACCTCTCCCAGCCTTAGTTACCATAACTCTAAAGTAAAAACGGCTATTCTTGCCTTATCTACCTCACAGGTCTGTTACAAAGATCTTTTGAGGTCATACATATATACTACATATAAAAAAAATTTCTTAGAAAATCTAAAACAAAAGTATTTTTTAATTTAATTATTTTGTAGGTGGCAAATGAGATTCAAATTTAAGATAGTATACAAGATCCCAATAATGAATGTAACTGTACTATATACCTAAAATGTACCAATAAACTCAATTTAAAAAAAAAAAACAAATTTTAAGATAGTATCTTTTTAAATGGATAATTTGTCCTGTCTTCCCTCACAGTTTGATCCAAAAGTTAAGAATAGCAGCTTGTGTACATTATAGTTGAGTAGAGCCCTCTGGTTGTCTCTGCTGGCTTTGCACTTTCCTCTGTAACACTTCACATTATGAGCTTTTTCTTTTTTCTTTCTGTCACTATAAAGTGTATGGGGTAAGAAGAGATTGTCCTTATGTTACCAAGATACCTTTTCCTTCCCAGACCACCCCTGGCTGAGATGCTTTCCTTTATATTTGTTAGGAGTGGGCTTTGCAAGCTCTGGTCTGTTCCCGATTGTAACCTCCTTCACACTCTTCGAGGTAAGTTAGAATCTTGTTCAGATCACAGTCTTCCCAGCATAAGCTCTGTTTAGCTGTAAAACTGCCTGGCACTCACACCCCACGCTGCATTGACTTTTCTTAAAATTAACTAATTAATTCCTTCCTTTCTTCCTCCCTCCCGTCCCCCTGTCCTTTGTTCCTTTTCTTTCTTTCCTTCTTAGATGAGAACTTGTGCAATTACTCATGACTGAACTCATGATCCCCTTGCCTCATCCTCCCGAGTAGCTGAGATTAATAGCACTCATTGCCAGTTCATTCTTTTTTTTTTTCTTTTTGAGACAGGGTCTCACTGTAGTTGAGTTGAGACTGACCTGGAACTCACTATGTAGTCCAGGCTGGTCTCAAAATCACAGTGATCCTCCTGCCTCAGCCTCCTGAGTGCTGGGATTACAGGCGTGTGCCACCACACCCGGCCCACCAATTGATTCTTGATTTGATTTAATGTGGTTTGGTTTTCTTAGACCACAAGGCCAGATTGTAGTGACTGTTACAGCTTTCACCTCATGTCCAGCCACTCTCTTAGCATTTTCCAGTGTTTAAACCAAAACGCACAGGGTTTTGGGTTTTTGTTTGTTTGTTTGTTTGTTTGACTTTTTAAATGTCCATTTTTAATAGTTTTTGTTGTTGTTTTGTGTGTGTGTGTCTGTGTGTCTGGTACTGGGAATCCGACTCAGGACCTTGTACTTGCCAGGCAGGCATGGCGTTGCTGAGCTGCATCCCCAGCCCTGAATAGTTCTTTTTGTTAATAGTATTTGTCCACACTTGTTCCCTAATATAAACTTATTTGTGTTACAATACTCATCATAGTCTTCATTTTTCATTTAAGTTATAAAAAGGCAAGACCCCATTAACTTTTCACCTCTTACACATTTTTTTTTTTTTTAACCTCTTACACTTCTTTAGGCCATAATACAAATGTAGGAGCAATTGTATTTCATCCTAAGTCCACTGTCTCATTGGACCAAAAAGATGTCAACCTGGCTTCTTGTGCTGCTGATGGTTCTGTGAAGCTTTGGAGCCTTGACAGGTATTGCCATTCTCAGTCCATATTGCCATCCCTAAAGTAGGTAGGTGATTAGCTGGTCCTTACAACCTCAGGTTAAGGATCTGGCATTAACCCCAGAGATAATGCAGGAGTCAGTATAATATAATGTGAAAATAGAATGGACAGTTCTTTCTTAGACCTCTTCTTACTGCAGGAGATGTTCCAGGTTTTTCTAAATGTTAACTTTGGGCCCCCATTTTTTTTTTTCTTTATTTCGGTACCGGGAATAGAACTCTGGACCTTGTATTTACAGGCAGGTGCAGTACCACGAGACCAAATCCCCAGCCTGGGGCCTCAATTTGTTGTCTCTAGCATGGTGACCATTGTTCTCAGCTCCGTTTATTATGGAGAGATCTGAACTACCTCTTACACAGTAGATTAACTATAGAAAAATATACTGTTTGGTAGAAGCCTGAAGATACTAGTTTTGGCAGCCTAGTGGTTCTTAACACACAGTCATGGGGGAGAGGAGAGCAAGGTTTTGTCTGGTATATAGCCAAGGAACACTCCGGGTACCAGCGTCATCTTTTTCCTAGGATGTATTTTCCGACTGACAGGTTTTTTTTTAATAATGTTATTTTTACTCGTTGCCACCCCCCCCACCCCTCAAGATGTTAGAAGCACCATGTTGGCTAAAATATGAATTCAGCTGCTTTATTTTCTTTCTTTGGGAAAACACAGGAAGGTTTTTATTCCTGAGTTTTTTAAAGAGCTAATTTGTATCTCCAGTCCTTACCAGACTGGGTCTTTACCTATGAGCACAGGCAAATTTTAATTGGCTTTCGTAATACTTAGCAGTGTTTATCCCCCTAGGGCTCTGGCTAGTTCCATGTGTGCACACTGATAAAAGTTACCTTCTTAATTGCCCTCTTTAGAGTTCATGTTTATTTCCTTTCACTGGTGTTTCAGATCTTTTCTGTGGTTGCTGTGTAGCTGAATTTAATGACCATCAAAAAGAGGCAAAGCCTCTGTCTACTTAGGAGTTCCTTTTTCCATTTGCATCCTTGAATAGTCTTAAGATTTGAGAAAGATTTACCAAAACTGTTTAAACCTTCACTCGCCTATCTTTATCAAAATATGTTTTCTTTCTAGAATTCAAGCACTGCTTTGGTGTTTATCAGGCTAAAGTACTTTATTTTTCTTTAATCCTAGATGGTATACCATTAAGAATTTATTAGCACAGTGAATTGAAGATAGTGGTCAGTTTGCCCTGTAGGTACATGAAATTACCTCAAATTTTTTGTTTTGTTTTTTTGAGACAGAGTCAATGTAGCTCAGGCTGGCCTTGAACTCACTATGTATTCCAAACTGGTCTCAAACTCATGGCGATCCTCTTAGCTCAGCCTCCCGAGTTCTGGGACTACAACAGTTGTGAGCCACCATGCCCAGCCACTGCCCAAGTATTTTAAACCTTGTGAAGTGACCTAAATTATTGTTAACCTTAATGTGGAAGATTTTGTTTATTTATGTGTCTTTGCTGTTCTGGGTGTTGAATCCAGGACATGTTAGGCAAGCGCTTTACCCTGCCTAACCCTAATACTTTAACAGATTGTAAGTATAGTTACACTTCAGTCACTCCTCTTATACAGAGTGGCTTTCTCTGTGCAACAGTAAATAAATTCAATGAATATTTACAGGTCTTACAAAAGCGTGTACTTACATATGTTTGGTTCCTTTTCAGTGATGAACCAGTGGCAGATATTGAAGGCCATACAGTACGGGTGGCCCGAGTCATGTGGCATCCATCAGGACGTTTCCTGGGCACCACCTGGTAACCCCTCACCTTCTGTCCTATTCATACAGGCCTATGGTGTTTTATTAACCTGTTTAGTTATCTGCTGGGTAAATATTTAAGCAGAGATCTTCAGGTGGGACTTTCTTAGGCTGTTGTGAACCAGGAGAATGTGTATGATATAAGGAGAGCTAAGTATATTTGCTTTTAAATTGCCACAAGTGAGTTGGAAGTATAATTTTTGCCCCTACACATAGTATTAAATCTCTGCCAACAAATAAATTTCCCTTTCTGGTTCTGTCAATTCATTGAGACTAGAATCTGTTAAAGAACTTTTTCTTTGAGGTAAAATTAACACATAGTGGAATAGATCTTTTTAAGTTTACAATTTGATCTTCTCAAATACATGGCACCTTTGCGACCCCCATCACTGTCAATATGTAGAACATTTCTATCACCCAGAAAAGTTCTGTCATGCCCCCTGAATCTGTTCCCTTTTTCAAAGAAACCACTGATCTGATCTCTGTTATTATAAATTCTATCCATTCATATTGCGTGTACGCATCTGTGTCTGGTTTTTTTCACTTAGTGGAACACTTTTAAGATTCATTCCTCTTGTTGCGTGTGTCAGTAGTTCCTGTTTGTTGCTAAGGAATAGTTCATTGCGTGTGCCTCAGCTTATCTATTCTCATGTTGATGGGACGCTTGCACTTGTTTCCACTTTTTGGTGAGTCAGGCTGAATCTGTTATAAATATTCAGGGTGTTTTATGGACATATGCTTTTTCCTTTCTCAAGTAAATATCTTAGAGTACAATTGCTGGATCATAGGGTAGATGCACACATAAATTTTTTTAAACTTGCAATTTTTCAAAGTGGTTGTACAATATTATATTCCCAAAGCTTTGGATGCTTCGCTTCTTTCCAACATTAGATGTCATCAATCTTTAACATTTTACCCAGTGTAAAATCAAGTGTGTAGTGATACCTTAAGGCTTTTTTGGTTGTTTTGCAGTACTGGGGATTGAATCCACTATCTTTGCACTTTTTTAAATTTTTTATTCTTGAGAAAGGATCTTGCTAGGTTGCCCAGGATGGCCCCAGACTTGCAGTCCTCCTGCCTCAGACTCCCAGAGTTTTGGGATTGTGGGTGTGTACCACCACACCCAGGTTTGTTACTAATTCTTCTTGCCCTGGTAACTATTGGTGTTGAGTACTTTGTTGCATGATTACTGATCATTTGCACGTCCTTTTTTGTCTTTATTTCCATGTGCATAGCCAGTTCCTCCAGCATTTACTGAGGTGGCTTTTCTTTCTCTGTTGAGTTACATTGGTGTCCTTGTTGAAACATTCAACTGTATCTGTGTCCAGATCTGTTTCTGTACTCTCTGTTCCCTCCCATTGACTTGTTTGTCTCCGATTTCTGTTTGCCCAACATCCAGTTTATATAGATCCAGTGAAGGAAGGGATATGATAGTGAAATGAAGGAAAAACAAAAGACAATAGAATCTTGGCAGGACCATTCTTAGGAATTCTATTCTTAAATTAATCCACTGGAATGGGTTAATAGGAAGTCCATGGTTTCCTGGTTAGCAGTGTATATTGCCAGGAAGGAATTTCTTATTAATATGGCTGAATGGTTTCACAGGTGTAAGTTAAGCTACAATTATTTATAGTACCTTCGAGAAAGTGACTCATTTTGCTGGTTGACTGTAATGTGGTTTGGTTTGGTTTTTTAAAGTTATGATCGTTCGTGGCGCTTATGGGATTTGGAGGCTCAAGAGGAGATCCTGCACCAAGAAGGCCACAGCATGGGTGTATATGACATAGCCTTCCATCAAGATGGCTCTTTGGCTGGGACTGGGTAAGGCTTCTTCAACAAAAGCAAGGGCAGCTCAGTAGTCTCACCTCTTACAGATGCCTGCTTCTGCAGAGAACTGGATTCACTGTTTGTGTATTATCTCATCAGGGGACTGGATGCTTTTGGTCGAGTTTGGGACCTGCGCACAGGACGTTGCATCATGTTCCTAGAAGGCCACCTCAAGGAAATTTATGGAATAAGTTTCTCCCCCAATGGGTAAAATGAGCTTGCTGAATGAGGGGCTGAGAGAGTTCTTTAGACAGTAGTTTGTTTCTAACTTTGATAATGCACCTGATCCACAGCTACCACGTTGCAACTGGAAGTGGTGACAACACCTGCAAAGTATGGGACCTTCGACAGCGGCGTTGCATCTATACCATTCCTGCCCATCAGAACTTAGTGACTGGGGTCAAGTTTGAGCGTAAGCTTCTCCTGTTTTAGGCCTAAACACCAGAAAGGAACTTTCTTGGAATATAGGTTAGGCTTTAGCTTAGCGAAGAAGTGGAAGGGGATATAATTTGACCTCTGATAAAGGAGAAAATTACAATTCTGTTCCCTCATGCCATGCCCCTATACTGAGCTATGGTAAAGAATGCTTCTTGTTGCCAGGAAGTAAAGGACTTCCATGAATACTTTGCTTCATTCTTTCCTCCATGGACATTCTTAGCACTGGATTGTTAATATTATTTTACATGATTATCTACCTGGGAAAGAGCCTAAAGTTCTTAATAATGTTACTTTTCAGTCTACCTTCATTGTCCCCTTTTCCTGGAAACCTAGTAGCAATATAGAATCAGTATGTTGGGTCTTTCTGAATGTTGAAATACCTTCTTTTTCAAAATAGTATGTTTAGGCAGATTTTTATGCTTTTATTTTCTTAAGCTCTTTTGAATACTTGAATCCTTCAGATGACTCCCTTTCTTCTCTCCCATAGCTATACAGGGGAACTTCTTGCTCACAGGCGCCTATGATAACACAGCCAAAATCTGGACCCACCCAGGCTGGTCCCCCCTGAAGACTCTGGCAGGCCATGAAGGCAAAGTGATGGGCCTGGACATTTCTTCCGATGGGCAGCTCATAGCCACTTGCTCGTATGATAGGACCTTCAAGCTCTGGATGGCTGAATAGGCAAGGCCATTGGAGGAGGACTCACATCAAGCTGCTCCTTCAGAGCCATTTCCCTCAAAAGAAAAGAATTGATGTATTTTATTTTTTTCTATCATGTTTCCTGTCAATTACCAAGTATAAATACTCAGTAAAATTGATTTTCATGTCAGCTCCCCAGCAGGCAGCCCAGTCCCTATGTGGTGGCAAACCCCTTTCATGGTTGGAGATTCAATTCTCATCCTCAGGCCTTGCCACAAATATGTAGACATTGTTTTCATTAATTTTCGTTTAAATGTTCTACCATTTTTCTCACAGCACTCAATCTTGTGACTACTCTGCATTTCTAGTTCTCAAAACTTACCTTTTCATAACATAGGATATGCTTCATGACTCCATGTGATCCACCCAGCAGGAAGGTGGCTGGACTGTATTCCAGAAGCCCTGGCACATTGAGGTTGAACAATGCCTGTCCTGACATCCTGACAGCAGCCCTTTTCCTCTCGTTGAGAATGAGAGGTGAAGCGGTAGACTGCAGCCAAGCGGGCGGATCAGGCAGGGAAGAAGACTGGACATTTCTGTGGAATTCACTTGAAATGCTGACTGCGTCAGGAAACTCAGAACCAGACATTTGCTTGGTCAGAAAATGTCTTCCCATTTTGCTTTAAGTTTGGCATCCTTCCTGTTACCTTAGAACACAGCCATTGTGTCAAGATTCAGAGAAATTTTTGGAATTGTACAGCTCTATTGTACAGCTTCCTTTCTGTTGCTTAAGTGATGTACCTCACGTATTAAAGGGTATTTCGTGTCCAAATAACCGAAAAAATCCCTAGTGGGCATTCCTAAACATGAACCTTTCTCTTTTTTACGTATTTGCTAAGAGTAAAATCTTACCATTAAAAAAAAAAAAAAGAAAAAAAGAAAAAAGAAAACTTGCTTAAAATATTTTTTAGGGGGCTGGGGATATAGCTCAGTATTAGAGTATATGAAGCCCTAGAATTCAATCCCCAACATCTCAAAAAAAAAAAAATCTGAAGTTAAAAATTTCCTGACACCTAGCCATTAATCCAAGGAGGTCTTTTTTTTAAATTTAAGATGTGGATTACTTCAATTTCTGTCTCCTGGATAAAGACTGTTCTTACCCTTTTTCATAGAAAGTAAGGGCTACCAGCCTCATAGCCAGACTAACAACTGTATGTGGGCTCCGTAATTCTTACCAGTTGTGTAGTGATTCCTCCCCCACTTTCTACCCCAGATACACATCCTCTGGACTCTGAAATGACACAGTAAATTTACACATGTAGAGGAATTTGGAAGGAGAAAGTACATGTAAAGAATTAAGGGCTTTATAATAGCTTCCCTTGAATGTTCAAACTTTTCATTTGCTGTTCCAGAGATGGAGGATAGCCTTGCCTCTATTCTGGAATTTGGAATGTGTGATTGTAGCTTAATGTACTTTTTAATCTGATTTCAATTATAACCAAATAGTGGCATTTCCTGTGTAGGCTAAGCCTTGGAATTCTCAAGTCTACCCCCTGCCCCATTGGATATTTTCATTTCTATATCTTTTATGGTTTACTATGAAAAGAAACCATTTTTGTAGTATGTGTAAAATGATGGACATTAATATATTTGCATCTGACTTATAGTATGCTAACAAAGATTTTCATTTTCTCAAGTTTATACTCTTAGTTTCCTTAGACTTGTCTTTTGTTTATTGGTGGTTCCAAAAGGGTAACTTTGGGGCTAAAATGTCTCATCTAACCCTTTGGCAGAATATTTGGTGGAATTACCATTTCTTCAGACATCATTGTAAAAATGGTTTGCTGAGGAACCCAAAGCCCGATGTAGCATTTCATGATGACACAAATCATGACATCATAGCCACCACTTAACAGGACGCTTAACTTCCTCCCTGCATAACATACCAGACACATTTGACATACTGTTTGACCCCTCACAATCGTGAATTTATTCCCTTTTTACAAGGCAAACTGATACTTAAAAGAAGTAGCTTGCTCAAGATTACCTACCTAGTAAGTGGTGAAACTGAATTTGAGCCCTGGTCTGTTTAACCATTTGTGATCTTACAAAAGAGACTACAGGACTGAGCAAATTGGCCACCCTGCCAGCAAGGCCATTACAGCCATCGTGGCCCATTTCCTATATGAAGTCACTGACTGACATGATGCCAAATGGAATTCACTGTTGCTGTCTTGTGAGCTTAGGAGCAGCCTATTGTGTTATTCAGTAAGATGGCTATTTACATTTTGGAGTAACTGACAGTAAATTGAGCATGCCGGCAGGTCTCAAGTGTCCACCTCTGCGCAAAACAGAAATACCCTCTTGGTTCACTATGAAAGGTGTTCCCACACATTTCCAAATGCCCTGCAAGAGACTGACTGATCCAGTGTTAGAACTTCTGGATGTGAAAAGAGAAGATGCTATAATGTTTTAAGCCTATCTTCCCATCTGAAGAAACTCAGACCTGTGTCTTACTTGGAGGTATATCAACCACTCCAAGAATAAAAGTTCTACTTTGAGTGAAAGAACTCTATCACTTATTAGCAAGGCGGTCTTAAGGCGGCCAAGCTTCCAGAGCCTGAGTTTCATCAACAAAGTGGTGAAGCTTGCTTAGACCAGCAGGCCATACTGTAGAGGCAGACGTCCGTTTCTGGGCATCCCCTGGCTCCTCTGCGCCCTGTACTGAACAGCTGGAGCCTGTCCCTCTTAGCTCAGACAATGATATCATTGCCTTACCTACCTGCCACAAAATTAAGGAGCAAATATGTGTAAAGAAATGAAGTCAGTTGGGGAGAGGTTGAGTCCCAGCATCAGTGTAATTATCTTTGATGGTGAAAATGGAGAGATGTGGGTCCCTGGTGGAATAAGTAGGCAGCTTTCCAGTTTTGTATTGGAGAGTTTTTCACATTAGAACTTAAAACTTTTATTTGGCTAAGTGCAAGAAATACATCTCTCACCTATTAAGACCCTTAAGAAGAATTTATAGAAGGTGGTCCCATTAAACGCCATTTAAAAAATAAAACTGGGCCAGGGGTTTAGCTCAGTGGTGCCACCACCTGCCTTGCAAACTCAAGTTCCTGAGTTCAATCCCCAGGACCAAAAAGAAAAAAAAAAAAGTAAAACTGATTCAAGTTATACCCTATGGTAGTTTATTATGCAATTTTTAAAAATTCAAAATGTTATTTTTTCATAATTGTGATGGTGTTTTAGCCATGTGAGAATTGTTTTTGGAGCCCTGAGCCACTAGGCCAAGTTAAAACTAGCAAAGCAGTAATTGATACTAGATACTGAGGATGGCAGTCTGCCAAGCAGCAGCCTGATCACTCCCATTTTGCCTCCTTGGTTTCCTGGATTCTGTCATGTAAAGTGAAAACCAGGGCCCCCCTCCCTACTGTGGCCTGGGATGGGAGCTAAGGTTTTGCCTCTGTCAGGAGTTTCTTGCAGGAGTGGAGTCTGAGCTCTGCTCTGTACCCAGTCAGGGCCTCTGCCCCTATCAGCAGGAGTAAAGATGTGTTCCTCCACATTTGATATCTCTTAATTCACTGACCCTGGCTTCTTTCATGGTTGGATTCTTATCTCCTAACACTCCGTGAGCTCCATGCTGACGAAAGGCTGTCTTACATTAGAAGCTGCTGAATGAAGGTTCCCTTTGCTAGGAGCCGTGTGCCACCCCTGAATACCTTCCCTCTCCCTTCTGCGTCTGCCCACTTTTGCGGAGTGAATGAATGACTGCTACCGGAACTCGTAGCAGGACATCCAAACAGCGGGAAGCACAGACGACACATTCGCCCACAGAAGTGAAACTCACTTTTCAAAACTTTTAGCAACATAATGAAAAGAGCAACTGAACAGAACATGAACTGAGTCCAAAGCAGCTCCGTTGAGAAGCGTAACTCGGTGTTTGGGTGAGGCAGGTTCCTGGATACCATTGCCCAGCCCTTTGGCACAACTTGTTGTGTGGCTCTGTGGCCACAGAACCACTTCTCTGCCCTCCATGACCCCATGGTTCACACCAGGAGGTCTCGGTGTCCCCTAGCCTTTCAGCTTTTGGGTTTCTTGTTTCTGTTCTTCCCTCATTATAGTGGGACCTTCTCTGTACACGGCCTAACACCGATCCCTGGTTTATGAAATAAGCAATACTACCAAAGAGGACAACACCAAAGGAGGGTATGCATCCCCATCCCAAGCAGCCTGGTTGCTTATCCATGAACAGCACTCACCCCACACCCCAAACGAACTGCTTGGTCCAAAAGATGGAGAAGATGAGCAACAGAGCGACACTGAGAATGACAGCCATCAAGTAGACAAAGATCCGGAATTGAGGGTTGCGCACACACTCCCTCAGAGAGTAGTGGCTGGGGATGGGCCTGGGTCCAGTGGCAGGGGCTGTATCCTGGGGGGGTCCAGTCTGACCTCCAGGCTCGGGGCCGAGGTCCAACGTGTAGACTCGAGGCTGACGCAGAAAGTAGCGGCTCTTGGGCTGGTCCTTGAGACAGAGCTGACGCCCTTCCAGGATGATGTGGTGGGGTTCCAGGCGGAGCAGGGTCAGCATGGCAGTGTCCGTGGGCAAGTCAGTGACCGGCTGTCCTGAGGCCAGGATGGTGGGCTGGCGACAGAGTGGGCAAAGCAAGCGGCGCCGGGCAGGAGTCACCAGGCTGAGATGGGCCAGGCATTCCACACAGAAAGAGTGGCAGCAGTCCAGCACTTTAGGGGTGTGGAACGTGTTGTTGAAGGGGTTCCAGCAGACGGGGCACTCAGCCTCAAGCTTTCGGCCCTGTGGCTCGGCCATCCTACAGCACACACCGGGAGGCCTCCCAGGGATTGTGCTGGCAGAGAGGAAGGAGCACAGTCACACCCGTGAAGCTCTGTCCTTGAGCTGAATTCTGTGGGGGTTTAAAAGTATCACCCACACTTTTCAGATGAAGAAACGTGGGTTCAAAGCATTTTGTCCCACATCACCCAGTTCCTAAGCCTTAAAATTCAATCTGAGTTGCAGAGCTGCCCCTGTATCAGTGGAAGACCTAAGGCAACTGCACTAACAGTGCTGAGTGAGCTGGCATCTGGGACTTTCAGTCCCAGAAAGTACCAGCCTGTGGCAGTGAATAAAAATGCCCCTAGTGCTCAGTGTGTTTGCCCATGGTTGCCCTGAGTCTGGGGAGAAGGAGGCTGAGACATATTCAGTGGTTTTTGCTAGAGGACAAATATTTCTTTCCCTGCCACAGTACCTCAAATCTCTGACCAGGACATGGGCTTTGTGAATTCCCTGGTCTCTCCCTCCTCTGCAGACAAATGCCAGGACCTTTTTCTCTCCTCTCTCTCTCTGTGGGCTACAGGTCCAACCCTCCAGAGCCTCCTGGCCCAGTCTTCAGTCTGACCTGATAAGTCTTTTTCTCATTGATCTGGAATTCTCAGAGAGCCTCCCTGCCGGAGTCTCTTCCCAGTAGTACTCAGCCTCCCCTAGCTCCTTCTCTGCATGATTTTATCCCAGACCTTCAGCGCACCCACCTGGGCTTCCAAGGGCTCTAGGATGGTCAGGCAGACTATTCTGGAGGGCTGAGGCTCTGTGCTTTCCCTCTCCTGACTCTGCAAAGCTTCAGGAAATTGCCTTCTTGCCACCAACCTGGGGCCGTCTCCATGGCAGCACAACTCACAGCACCTGGAGCTGCCAGATGGCCCAGGTTGCAGAGCCTCTTGAGCACACCTGTCTGGAGCCATGGCTAGAGAGCCACCTGGGTGGAGGCTGGGAGGTGGGGGACCTGCGTTTCACCCCAACACCTTGGGCGTGGCAACCAATCGAATTCAGAAGCCTAGCACTGTAAGACTGTGACTAGTTCTTTCCAGACCTGAAATCCCTGGCCCAGAAAGGTAGGGGTGGCAATTTCCTCTCTCTAGATTGTGGGGAGGCTGTCTTCTGGGCTTCCTCTCTCTTGGGGCCTCATTTCTTTTCTAAAGTGGTTGGAACCTCTTCGCCACACAAAGGGGCCATGGGTCCTGCACTTCTATTACTGAGAAAATTACCTACTTCATAGCCTAGATCAGATCCAACAAGTCCTTTTCATCTCTTTTCTGAGCTTTTCTATACGTAGCTGCAACCAGAATGGATGAACTTTGCTACCTTCAACTTCGTTCTTGGAACACAGTCAGCGGCTGAGATCTTTCAGTCCCAGAGCCAGCTGCCCTGCCGACTTTGGGGACTTGCAGTTGGGCTGGAGAGGTATGCCAGCCTTGCTTCCCCATTTAAACCGGAAACACTTGGCTTTTATCTGTTTCTCACATTCGTCAGTTACGCTACTTGAAGAGTTGACCTGCTGGGGGGAAGGTACTTACAAACCACTTGTCTGTCCTAATCACTCAGTTTGCACATGGAGACAAAAGTTACCCAGCTAGTTTTGGTGACATTGAGACATTGTCTTTGGATTCGCAGTCTACCACCATACTGCTGTCATAAAGGGACCCTGCATCCGTTCAGTCCATCTGATGGATATGTGTAATATCAGTAGGAAGTGTTTGCAATTTTTTTTTTTTTTTTTTTTTTTGGTACTGGGGATCAAACTAAATCCCCAGCCCAGGTGTTTGCATTTTATCAGGTGAGTCTTCATGGCCATAAGACTCTTGTGGTAGGCGTATAGGAACTATGCAAGGGGAGATTTGGGGATAGTCTTCCTTAGACATCGTCTGTCCTGATTGACTTTATGCTTAAAGTAAAACCTGTTTACACTCTCACCCTTGACGTCCTCATTTTCTTCTAGAATGCTGTCACTGCTCCAAGCAGGGGAGAAGGAAATGAAGTTAAGCAGGGAGAGATGCCACAAACTTAGCCAAAGCTGGAATCATTTACCAGCGACCCACACCAATATCTTACTCAGTGGACCATTCATCTATTCAGCAGTTAGTGAGAGCTAGGATTTGGGTAAATAAAGGCAAACAGCTGACAGCATGTTTAACCTCTCAGTATCTAGAGCCACAGAGACATTTAGTGAGTAATGGGCAATGAGGAAATGCATAATTTTAATGAATGCTTTCTGGACAAAAGAGAAAGTGGATAGTGGGAGTAGCAAGACCCCCTCTCGGAGGAAAAAACAGGAGTAGAGGGGAGAGGGATGGAGTAGGGGAGGAAAAGGAGAAAAGAAAAACAAGGGTGTTGGTGGCATATGCCTGTAATCCCAGTACTCTGCGAAGCTGAAGCAGTAGGATTCCAAGTTTGAGCCCACCCAGCCTGAGCAAAGAAGTGACTTAGCAAGACCCTGTCTCAAAAATTTAACAAAAATACAAATAAAAAAGGCTGGAGATGTAGCTTAGTACAAAGGGCCTAAGAATTAAAATCCCCAAACTGCCCCCTCCCAAAAAAGGAGAGAGACAGACAGACAGACAAAAGAAAATGGGCTTGAAATGGAAAATTTCTCCAAAGAGGTGATACAAAAGTTGAGGCTGAAGGCTAGAAAGAAACCAGCTATGCAGTATGGAGGTCATACTGACATGACAGGTCAAGGGACAGCTTTGTCAAACCTGCTTATTAGAACTGTGATTTCAATTGAGCCGTTTAACCTCTCTGTGCCTCTGTTTCCCTTTGGAAAGGGAAAGATAAAAGTAGTGATGCTTTTAGATAAAGCCCAGCACCCAGTAAAAACTAAGCACAACATAAGGAAGTTGGTGTTATCACTTCAAGTTGGATTTAAGAAAGAGAAAGGGTCATAGTTGGCTTTAAAGCCCTGACATGAAAGGAGGCCAAGGTGTCAGGAGGGAGCTTAAGAGATCAGAATGGCAGGAGGTGACCTAAGATCCAGAACTCCTCTGGATTTGGTTCTAGGGGAGGGAGAGTTTTTCATTTTTAAAATGCTACCCTAAGGGCCAGGGATGTAGCTCAGTGGGGCCTTGCCTACCTGGCAAGCACAAGGTCCTGAGTTTGATCCCCATACCAAAAAAAGAAAAAGAAAAAGAAAATGTCATTCTAGCAACTGAGAAGAGATGAGAGAGGAAACGGAAGATAAGTGTGGTCCAGGCGTGTAATAGTGATACATGATGTAGGCCAGGCAAGAATGGAGAAGATAAAACAGATGAAGGGCACAAAAGATATCTTTGGAGACAGAATCAAAACCTCCCCCCCCAAAAAAAACCTCTTCCCAATACACAGTGCTTTCTTGGGAACCAGGCTATATACTCTGGTCCCAGAGTCCCTGTTTATTAGAAATGTGACTTCAGTTGAACTGTTGTAACCTCCCTGTGCCTCTATTCCCCCTTGAGAAAAGAAAGATAAAGGAAGTGAAGCTTTTAGATAGAGCCCAGAACCCAGTAAAAACTAAGTACAGTATAAGGAAGTGGGTGTTATTCCTGCAAGTTGGATTTGATTACAGAGATGCCCACAAAGGTGCTACAGTAATTCTGAAGTATAGCCTATTCCATCATTGTCCAATAATAGAACACTAAGTGAATTCTGCTCTGGCCATACAGAAAGACTTTCTGCAGCCTTTAAAATGACACGATGAAATATTTATTAATATAGATGTAAGTCAATAAGAAAAAGAACTAGTAATAAAATCATATTACAACATGATCCTATTTTTTAAAATACGTGTGCAATGGAAAAAAAATATATATGGAAAGACAACCAAATGTCAATAGTTATTTCTGGAGGCAAGACTACATAGGTTTCCTGGGTTTTGTTTTTTGTTGTTGTTGTTTTTGTTTTTTTGAGACAGGATCTTACTATGTAGTTGAGACTGACCTGGAACTCACTATGTGGCCCAGGCTGGTCTCGAACTCACAGCGATCCTCCTGCCTCAGCCTCCCAAGTGTTGGGATTACAGGGGTGCACCACCACACCCGGCTTCCTGGACTTACTATGTTTGAGACTGACCTGGAACTCACTATGTGGCCCAGGCTGGTCTCGAACTCACAGCGATCCTCCTGCCTCAGCCTCCCAAGTGTTGGGATTACAGGGGTGCACCACCACACCCGGCTTCCTGGTTTTTGTTTTTTTAATTCTCTTACCTAGAAACTCTAACTCTAGGAAGCTTGTCTCACCACCTTATTTTCCCCTTTCCTTTAAATCAGACTGACAGTCTCTGCAGATCTGTGGCCAAAGCTGTAACAGGCTGTCAGAGGAGGGATGGTGACTATAGCCTGGCCCTCATCAGGGCCTCTGCTCAGGCACTCTGTAGCTCCAGGATCAGCTGGTCAGAGTTCAGTATCTCCAGGAGACACTTTCCATGTGTCGGTCCCTCCACCACCCAGCCAGGCTGGCTCAGCTAAGCGACAGCAAGTCCCAGTGCCACCCCACAGTCATCACCAATATGAACTGTCCACAGCAGCACCTCACCCTTTTCAACATCAGCATGACAGAGATGGCCAGCTGGACTATCGATAGCCCTTCATAGCTTACAAAAGGGTTCAGGTCCTTACAAGGTTCTAAGTATGGCAACACATCTAGATAGTTAATTGCCTGTTTCTATTTGCTTAAGGCCATTTGATTCTCTAAAACCACCCAGTGAAGGAGGCAGAATAGGGAGCAAAAAGTGTGCAGACTTTGAAACCAGACTTTTTTGCTCATCTGGTACATAAGGCTTAACTTCTCTGAACCTTGTTTTCCTCCGTGCAAGAGAGCAGCCCTCACAGGACTGCTGTGCGGAAGGAAGTCTCTAACCCGCCCAGCAGAACTCAGCAGGTGATTAAAACTTCATGATTGTTTTTAGACCCATTTGAAACATGGGAAGCTGAGGCTTGAGACATTGAAGTGCCCTTGAAAGATAGGCCCAGAGAAACCTACCCCGAAGACAGAGTTCACCCGCTCCCTGGCCCCTGCTGCCTCTCAGACCTGGGGCTGTGACCACCCCTCCACGCCCCTCTCCCTCCTTACCTGCTCCCTCACGGCTGCCACCTCCTCCTCCTCCTTCCTAAGGGAGCTCAGCCCAGGTGCATTGGGCTCTAATTGCTGGGCCTGTTGGGACCTCTGGGGGCGGGCCTCATCTTTGTGATGTTGGAAACTCCTGTCACACTCTGTGCAGTAGGCATTCCTCTTCTCTGGTGACTTTGGACTGTTGTTGGTTCATACAGCGGACACCCGGAAACTGTGGTCTCTTCATCTTCCTCCTGTGAGTCACTCTTGCTCTTTCACTGGTGGGGTGAAGTCCACTCACCCTCTCAAGCCTCTGTTGTGGGGCTGGGACCGCCTATGCCCCTCCTTGGTGACTGTCTGGACCTGACACAGCCTGGCCTCAACAGGAAGGCAGAGGACCTCTGAAGCCACTTCAGACCCTCCCTCCTCTGCAATGAAATCACAAAGAGCTCTTTCAAAATACAAATAACCCAGCAGAAAAGTAGTGAGGGGAGAGGCAGGTAAGACTAGCAGGAAGAGCTTGGATTCTCCAAGCAAGTCAGAGTCCCTGCTCAGAACCCAAACTCCTTTTACTAGGGAGAAGACAGGCAAATTAGTTAACCTTTCCAAGTCTCAGTTTTCTCACCTGAGAATGAGGGTAACAATCCATCTGGTTGATCTACAGATGAAATAATGGATTGTAACGTGGTGAATGGTATGCAGAAACACATAGACAACATTAATTAGACCTGTGGAATTATTGTTGTTCTTGTAGTTTGTTTGGTACCGGGGATCAATCTCGGGACCTTGTGCTTGCAGGGCAGGAAGCAGAACCACTGAGCTAAATCCCCAGCCCTTGTTCTTGTAGTTCTATCAGGGAAATTGCACAAAGAATCTACATGAAAGCAAGGGTGTTCGTGAGCACCCGTGTGTTCCATGCGCGTGCATTAAGTTTAAAGAGCAGGGTGGTCGTCGCTCTCCAATCTGTGTCAGGGCCTCACTGTCTTCCAGCAGGATTTTTATGTGCTTCATCTCTCATCCCTCTCACGTTCTCTTTGTACTTAGGATCTTTTTCTTCCTTCAGTGATCTTTCCGGTGAAGTTTGGAGGAGAATAAAGAGAAATAAATAGTAAATATACCCAAATGGGACATAATCAGATGCCCTAGTTTCCTCATTTAAGGTTTTTTAGAATCTAATTTTATTCTAAATAGGTGATACGTTCACATGGTTCAGCATGTGAAAGGTTTGACCATGCAGAGGAAACTGTCTTCTCATCCCAGCCACCTAGTTTCCCTGGAAATTAAGGTATGATGCTGTTTCTTGTGTAACTTTCCAAAAATGTCTAATGCACACACAAACAGAATTTCCATGGCAAAATGTCTATGTATTCATTTTTCTTCTGTTACTCAAATATACATATTGCATGAACTATTCTGTGCCTCTTTTTTCACTTGACAATAATGTATCTATCTGACATACCATTCTGTACTACTATGTACAGAGTTTTCTGAGTTTTTAATGTTTGTATCATATTTTATTGAATGACTATATGATAAATTAATCACCTATTGACCTAATCCTTTAATTTTAAATATATAAATAGTGGATAAAAGAATAAGTGCAGAAATGATTTTAATTTAACCTAGAACTGCACACACATGAAATAAAATTGTGGAAGCTGAGGATGATGGTAAAGCTTGTAATCTCAGCACTTGGTGGGGCGGGGCAGGAAGATTAATAGGAGTTTGAGGCCAGCCTGGACTACATAACCAGGCCTTGTCTCAAAAGCCAAAAGAAGAAAAAAGAAAAGGGAGGGAGAGAGGAAAGAAGCGAAGCAGGAAAGGAGAGAAGGAGGGAGGGAGGAAAGGGGACAAGACTGTGGATTTGGGGACATTTTAGAGCCCTAAAAAAAGACTTCTCAACAATTCTCTGAGCTCATGACAGAGGGATACTTTCAATGGGTTGGAGCTTTCTCTTAGCTACGTATTCCCTATTTCCTGTCATCACTACTGATTAACTAAAGCTAGTGGAGATTCAAGACACTGATTTATTTCAAAGGATCTGGTTTGTATTTGAGAGTTTGGAAGTCATGCTTTCTGCCTTGGCAAGATTAATGCAAGCAGTGAAGAAGTTACTTAGTAATTTAATTTCCCAGAAGTATCCAAAAGATCTATTTTGGTTGATTGGAGATGTTCATTGCAGTTTTAACTACAACTCAATGATTGAAAACAACTCAAATCCCACCAGTTACTCCTAAATAGGAAACTACATAAATGCTATATATCACTTAAAATGACGTCACCAAAGAATTTTTACTGACTTATAAAAATGGCCACAACACATTATATAAGGGGGGCAGTTTCCAAAACAGTATATACCATATGAACCAGGCTTCCTAAAGCAGGACCTACGTGTGAAGGCTGACGACCAGGAGGTCAGTGTTACTCACAGTGGCTGTCTCTGGGCAATGGACATTGTGTTCTTCCTTGGTTGGCTGCATTCTCTAAATTTTCAAATTAATATATTTTGCCTTTGTAGAAAGGAAATTCACTTAGCCAGTAAGGTAAGTCTAAGTTTTCTGCAGCCAGGGAATCCATAACTTGAATAGGTAAACACGTGAGGTGAACAAGGAATCAGCCAAGAAATTGCAAACAGTGAAATAAACGCCAAACAAGCCAGGGCCTTTTTCCAGGCCACTGACTGTCTAGTGAGTAAACACATCATCATAATGTGTGTGGGTGGTCAGTGCCAAGGAGTCCTTTGCAAACAGTGGAAATTCTTCTGAAGTGATACCCTGGAGAGATAGTGAGGCATCTGGGGAATTTGAGAGTTAAATTTAGTTCATGTTTGGGGTGGGAGCTGGGATCAGCCAGCTGGAAAAGTACCTCGCCTAAGCAGAACCTTGGGACTGGGGTGAGCAGAGTCATGAGCCTCCTTGGAGCCCAGCCAAGGTGGGGATCAGAAGAGTAGGATTAACCATCTGGGAAGAAGCTCTTGCTCTCTCCTTCTTCATTCCCAGGAAGGAAGGATGGATCTAAAAAAATCAGTAACTGAGGCAATGTCTGATTAGGTGACAGTATTTAGTAAGCCCCAGCCAAGGGAAGGGGGCTACTGTCCCTGAGGGCCTCTACGTTGTCATCCCTTGCTAACTTCAGCCTTGGCAGACTTTTGCCTTAGGCCTGCCCAGACTTTTAGGACGGTCCCAGTAGTGTAGGCATCACCTGGAGGTTGACAGAAATGCAGACTCTCAAAAAAACGCATAATTTCAGAACTGCTCAAGAAGAATTTGTACTTCACAAGATCCTCAGCAGATCTAGACATAGAGCAAAATATGAGGAGTGCTGATTTAGGGGAAATCCCTCCCATCTGTGCTGCTTGACTCAAACTGATTGTATTCATCCATAGGTTCGTAAGGGCTTTCCAAGGATGTAATAGCACCTTAGAGAGGGCTGGGTGAGTCTCAAACTAGGAATGGCCAGAGCTTTACCACCATAAGAATTTGCATTGCAAAGTCACAATCTCCTATGTAAAACATTTACAGTCAAATGATTTTCAGAGCTTTTCCTATTTTAAGAAGGTAATATGCATTTGCCATATATTAAGTAACTCTCAGTGGGATCTGGGATGGTATTCTACAGTCTATTATGAATACTCGCACCGAATAAATAAATAAACATCCAAGATTGAATCAGACCAAATTTAATGGAAAAAACTTGATTTTCAGGTTGTTGGGATTTTAGAAATGTGGATAAAATGTGTAAGCTGTAGGCCAGATATTTAGCTAAGTGGTGTTGCTGCCTGCCTCACAAGTGCAAGGACCTGAGTTCGATCCCTGGTACTGGCAAAAAAAAATGTGTGAGCTGTTTTATTTTTCTTTTGGGTTTATTGTTGCTGTTTTTGCTTTTATTTTGATTTGGGAGTTCTTTTTTTAGGTACCAGGAATCAAGCTCAGGCCCTTGCGCTTGTGAGGCAGGCGGTGGCACCACTGAGCCAAGTCCCCGGCCCTGTTTTCACTTTTAGATTGTATCAGTTGAATAAGTTTAGGAACACTGATGTAGGTTAACTTCCTGCCTCTTGTTAACCTCAGATTTTGCAGGAACTATAAGATCTAGGTATTCTTTCACATGTAAAATCCTCCACATACTTCACCGTTGTAAGCAGGTCACATCTGCCATGACACAGCTCAACTCAAGGGGATCCATGAGCAACAGCTGGATTTTGGCAAAATTAAGCCAGTTGTCCCAAGCAGCATCAATGCTCAATGTCCAGAGTTGATACTGGAACCCAGGGCCTCTGATTTGTGGTTCAGTGCTGCCACTCGGCCCGTCTCTCCCCTACTTCCCTGAGAACAGTGGGTCTGAGCTCTTGGACGTGACTTCTTTCCTCAGATCTCACGTCCTGTGTGCTGGGAACTGGCTCTGGCTGAAGGATAAGGGATAAAATTCTTGCTGCACATGCCCACTGGTGTGATTAAAAACAAGGGACTGAAAGTGAACCACTTTTCCTCTAGCTGGTCTGGGGATGAAGCATCTCAACCCCTCAGACTGTCAGCTGTGTGAGAGTGGCAGTAAATGGCCCCCAGGAAGTCGCTGATGCGAATTGGCCCAGGCAGAGGCAGATGAGTCATCAGACTTATTACTCTGAAGACTTTCTCTTGGTGAGTCCTCCCTGGGAGACCCTGGCAAGGTGGACTAGAGGCTATTTGTACAGGTAGGTCCAGGCAACTAGCAGGAAGTGGTGAGGTCCTTCTCCAAATGTCAGGAGATGACCGGGCCAGGGTCTGTCTCTGCTTTTGTAATGTTCAGATGGCAACAGTGGCAAAAGGACCTGGAGTATGGTTTGTTCCCTTCAAAATTCATGTTGAAATTTGATTGCCACCTAAGAACTGAGAAGCAGTAGGGCCTTTTAAAAGTATTTAAAAGGTCATTTAGAAGGATTAATGCTTTTCTCAAAGGGCTGGGTTCATTCTTGCAGTAACAGGTCGTTATCAAGCAGTCCCAGGCCCTCTTGCCTATCTCTTCTGCACATGCTTTTGTTCTTCTGCTGTCTGTGATTAGTTGAAGCAAAATAAAGCCCTTACCAGAAGCCACTCAGATATCAGCACCGTGGCCTTGAAACTTGCCAGCCTCCAGAACTGTCCACTAAATAAATGTCTTTTCTTTATAAATTACCCAACTTCAGCAATTCAGTTATAGCAGCTGAAAATGGACTGAGACAGAAAAGTGTTGCTGTCGGATATGGTGGTGTATGCCTATAATCTGAGCACTTGAGAGGCTGAGGCAGGAGGATTGCCGTGAGTTCAAGGCCCGCCTGGGCTATATAGTGAGTTGAAGGCCAGTCTGAACTACATAAGTGAGACCCTGCTTCAAAACAAAACTTGCTTAGAACATGTCATGCCTTTCTTCTGGCCTGTGTCTCCCTTGTAGAATGGGAATATTTACCTTATGCTTGTCCTGCCATTGTATTTTGGAAATAGATAACTTGTTTTGACTTCACAGGCTCACAGATGAGACTTTGCACTTTTAAGTTGCTGCTAGGACAAGTTAAGACTTTTAGGATAGATTTTAGGGAGAAGTTAAAATTTTGAGAGGGAAATATTGTATTTCACATTGTGTGAAGGACATGATTGGAGGGGACGGGGACGGAATGCTAAGGGCTGCCCCTCAAAATTCACGTGGATATTTGTCATTATGACTGCATCGAGAAGTAGTAAGGCCTTGAGGAGGTGACACAGTCATTGAGACAGGTAAATGCCTTTCTCTGTGAATTCATTCTCAAGAGAAGGGGTTATTATAAAGCAGTTCAACCCCCGATAGCTTATCTTTTCCACAGGGGCTATGTGCTCTCCCACTATTCACCATGAGTTGAAGAAACACAAAGCCTTTACCAGAAGCCTGCACAATTGGACTTCCCACCCTCCAAAACCATAAGATAAAATATACTCTTTTCCTTTAAAATTACCCAGCCAAGGGCTGGGGATTTAGTTCAGTGGCGCCAGCTGCCTGCCTTGCAAGTGCAAGGACCAGAGTTCAATTCCCCGGTACCAAAAAAGAAAAGAAAAGAAAAGAAATTCCCAGCCTCAGATATTCCATTGTAGCAATAAACAAAGCAAGACAGGACCCTCCCACAGGGCTTTTGTAGTGTTAGAATCAGGAAGCTAGTGATCTCCCACCTCTTGGGGTCTGCACATTCTCATTTCTGCTCCTCTTGGGGCCTCCTGGCCTCTCACCTTTCTGTGAGGCCACAACTCTAGCTCTCATCTGTGCAGTTTCCCTTCTCTCAGAGGAGTTTACTCTTTAACCTTTATGGTAAGATATTGCTAATACAGAAAAAGTAGGACTCTCAGAAGAATATAAAAATGATGGGAACGATGGAAGGTACGCTGGAAGGGCTCCATATGAATTTTGTAACTTAGCCCTGAGGATAACTCTGTGTTGGTGCTGTCATCCTCATCTCCATTTTACAGATGAACACCGTGAGGTGCAGAGAGGGTAAGCCACTTTCCCAAGGTCACAGGGCTAGGAAGTGGCAGAGTGGGATGTCAGCCAGGCAGTCTGGTGCCAGAGTCCACACCCTCAACCACCAGGCCACGTTGCCCCCTGTAAATAATCTCATCTAAAATTCTGCATGTAACTTATAATCACTATCATCCTTGGGGCTATATGGCCTTTCTCTTTTCAAATAGAGAAATAGATTTTTCTTAAATTATTATAAAATGTCATCCTCTGTTATAGCCTTTATTCACTTTATCATATTTCTGTATCATAAAATACTTTCCTACAGCCTCTCCTTCAAAATGAGGGTTTATTGTCTTTGATGACAGGAAAAACACTATAAATTTACTTGCACATGCATAAAATAGGATGCCCTAGTTGCTGGCCACACTGGTGACCTCCAGAGGGAGCCAGATGGAAGGTGAACAATTTTCATTGTGTAACATTCTGTACTGTTGATTGAGACTGTGAATGTATTATTTATTTCAAAAATGTTTAAAAAAATGAATCTAATATATCCTAATTGCAAAGAAGTGCAGAAAGGGATGAAGTAGAAAATAAATTCATTTTAAAACTCAATATCCAGATTTTTTTGTCATAATTCTTTCAGACTCCCCCACCCTCACCCCCGGTACCAGGGATTGAACTCAGGACCTTGCACTTTTGAGGCAGGCACAGTGCCACTGAGGTAAATTCCCAGCCCTTCTTCCAGCTCTTTATCTCTGAATGTAGAGAAACATTTTTACCACAGTGGGATGGATGATGATTCGTGGTGGTGGTGTTACCTGTGCTTTTCACTTACAGTGGATCATGGCCATTTTTACATGCAGTCTCATTTTAAATTTGTGCATGGTTATTAGTCACGTAATGTTAGCCAGTTACTAAAAGATGATTTCCAGATGAACTGAGAGCCCAGCATCTGGGCTTGCAGTCCTGGTGGCGCTAGTTCCCATTACCTAAAGCTGTGCTTTTCAGTTCTTTTCAGTTCTATGCAAGCCCTTGAATAGGCAGGATGTTGTGTTGCAGACGCTGAGAGATAACATCTGGGAATGGATTGAATGTCCCTTCCCTCTATGGATGTCACTTATTCCATAGGTACAAACACCTCCTACCTGCTTCCTTTCCTTTCAACCTTTATGGCCACCGCCACTGGGACAGGGCCATTGAAAGGAGAGGGCCTTGGGAAAACCAGTCTGCCTGTCTAAAGGCCTGAGCTCCTTCTGGGATCAGCTGCAGGCTACAAGACCTCGGGCAAGTCACTTTTCTCCAGATCAGAGGAAACGATCTTCGGTCTCCAATCAGTGTTGTTTTATTGGAGGACTCAGATAAGATTATGACTGAAAGTACTATGTAAAACACAGTGCACTGTATTATATCTGTAATTTTATTGTTAAAGTCTGACCTCTTTACTGGAGGTGTCAGGGAGAGTGGTAGAGGCCAAACCAGTTGGTCTAGTTTCCTTCTAGTGTTGCGTCTTGGAACTACCTCTCCAGAGGCGAGGCGCACTCTTCCATATCTACACACTCATCTTAAAACTGAGGGTTGTAAAGCTCAAGGGCGCATAGCTGATAAGCCTATGAACAAATGAAACCTCAACTCTCCTGAATAGCTAGTAGGAAGTAAATTGATACAAATTCCTTGGAAAATTGTTTGGCAGTATCTTCTAAAACTGATTCTGTGAATTTACCAATAGCCTGCCAAGTTGCCTGCTAGTTTTGGAATAAGCACATATACATGCAGAGGTTCACCAAAAGACCTGTTGTTAGACTACTCATAGCAACACTGTTTGTGAGCATCCCAAACTAGTAACCACATAGATGTTCATCAGTATATGGGTAAATTGTAATATTTTCACAGTGGATTCCTATCAGCAATGAGAACGAGTGGTAGATAGATGTTCAGCTGCATGCAATATGGAATAATCTCAAAAATGTGTATCTGACTGGTCAAATAAAGTTCGATCGGAAATAAAAAAGTGCACACTTCTTTGACTTAAATCTCTTGCTGTATAATAAATCACTCCAAAACATAGTGTCTTAGAACAATGATTTGTTATTTCTCATGAGCTTGTAGGCTAGTTGTGAAGTTTCTCTTCTGATTTCACCTGAGCTTTCAAGGCTTCACTGAGTTGCAGAGTTGGCTGGGTTGAAAGACCCAAGGTGACCTCATTCTCCGCATGACCTAGGCCACCTTCCTTATGTAGTGATCTGAGGGCAGTGTTCCAGGAAGGGAAAGGTAGAAGTTGCAAAACATCTTAAGGAAGGCCCAACCTCAGGATGTGTACAGTACCCATTTCTCTGCATTGTGTGGTCAAACCAAGGCAAAAGGCCAGCCCGGATTCAAGAGGTTCCTCTTGATGAAAGGAAGTCACATTACAAAGGGTCCCACATACAGGAATGGGAGCCATTTGTGGCTATATTTTCCAGTGACCACAACACAGCATGATTCCATTTATATAAAGTAGAAAAGCAGGCAAAGATCAATATTACAAATTCATCCACAGGTAGGCCTGGGGAGTGTAACAGAGACCATCTGGATTCTTGGATATAACATACTTGTGCATCTAGGCCCTGGTTACTAGAATCTGTTGTTTATGAAAATTCAGCAACCTTTAAAGACATCTGATATTGTTTGTACGATTACTATACTTGAATTAAAAATTATATAGTGGCTTCAAAACAATAAAGTTCATTTCCATTTTAGTAAGTTTAGCTCAACTCCCCATGGTTATTTATCTTGCTGTTCCATCATCTTAGCCTCTTCTGCATAGTTGAAGCAGTTACTGGCTGTCTAAATCCCACTACTGGGAGGGACTGTAAGGGGAGGGCCTGGAGCTGCACCTTCCTCTGGAACTGACGCACCTCCATTCACAACTCCCTAAGAACTCACTCCCACGGCAAGCCCTGCTCGGAATGTGGCTCAGGTGACCAGTGAATTTTAGGGAAACAACTAGCAGTCTCCTGCATTTTTAATGATGAAGCTACACTTTAATAATTATGTTTTCTTAAAAGGCCACTGAGGAATAGCTAAGTTCCTTTCTTCTCAGCATTAAAAGATTAAAAACCCCAAGTGATCTGAGTTCTGTACTTTGCTGGTAACTCCTGTGTCAAAGTGAAGGCCATTAATAATCACCACCTGTTTTCCTTAAACATATAAATATATTAATGTTAGCATAGATATAAATTGCTTAAATCTTAAATATATTATTAATCAGATCCTAAGACAAGGGCTTAGATACTTTCTTGGAAAGCAAAACAAAGCATCTATTGTCATTGGAAAACTCCTTTATAGGATTTTAGAGGGACAGCCTCTGAAGCAAAGTGTTCAGTTAAATTGCTGGCTTATGTTTCAGATGCTGAGAATATCTGATCAGGGTCTATCACACTAAAATAATTCTCTACAAATGTTAGAGTTTATTCATCCATTTTCTTTCCCTTGGTTTTTTTTTTTTTTTTTTTTAG